TGTTAGTGGTTTGAGATGATCGTCCTCGACTGCGATGGCTTCTACCTCTGTTTGTGTATAACGCTGTCTGAACGTCAGACGGAGTCGCCATTCTTTGTGAATCTTCTTGAACATGAATCTCTTCACTGATTAATAGAGCATATAGAGTATCAAGCGTAAGAGGATGTTGCATTGTGCGTATATACGTTTTGAACGATTGATATGTCGCCGGTAGACCATTCATGATATGAAGTATAATGTCTTTGGTGTCCATTTTTGCTCCAGCGGATGCAATGTTGTCCACTAATTTCTTGATTTCTGCAAGATACGTTTGCATAGACATGTTTTTCTTAGAAATATTGTGAAGCTCATTCTTGAGCTGAATCACCTTAGATCGACTTGACGACTGGAACCGTGTCTGCAGCGCCTGCCAGATCTCCGCCGATGATTCAAGATGCATTATGTTGGGTAGAACCGGAGCGGATATAGTGGAGCAGATGGCTGTCGCTAGGTTCTGATCGGTGAAAACCCAGGTGTCGTCGCTTGCATTTGGGTCGAGATTCTCTTGATTTTGATCTCGTCCAGATAAAGTCGAAGCCGAAGTTTGTTCAAGAAAGGCTTCAAATCCATTTGCCTTGAATAACTTCAGGATTTGATTTCTCCAAATCTGATAGTTTTCTGCAGACAAATGATGAGGAACCAAAGATTTGAGATGCGATACAATGAATTTGAGGGAGGGATAGAGGGCAAATTTGTCGGCCATGGCCGCAGAGGTTGCCGCCGTAGTGGAAGATGTAGAAGACGATGTCTCCATAAGGAGTCGTTGCCCAGGGACTTAGACCGCTTCTGATACCATGTTGAAACACAAGATCTTTCTTTGGATCTTTTACAGAACTTGGAGAAGAAGACAAGTAAAGAAGATGATTGAATTATTTCATTACCTCAAACAGAGTTATTACAGCAATATATATAAAGACTTAATGCCATAATGCTTTACACGTGGAAACAATTTACTGGATAGCAAGAATACAATTATTTAATATTATTTATTATTGCTTTTCTAACATGAAGCCTAAGTTTTCGTTTGGGACAACTTTCTTCTTGTTTCTTAAAGTGGTCTTTTAATGAAAAAAATTATTTTTGTGCTAAAAAATGGCTTTAAGAAGCAGTAAGAAAGCCGCCTTTTGAAGCTTAATTTAAAGAATTAAGTGCTTATTTCTTTCATTAAAAAAAAAAGATTTTTAAGCACATAATAAGTTTTCCGAGGCAAAAAATATATAAATGCACACGTCTCTATTTGATATTCTGTGGCGGTCAAAGGCGGCTGCTGAAATGACAA